TTTTCAATTTTTGTAGAGACAGGATTTTGCTTTTGCTCAGGCTGGTTTCGAACTCCTGACCGTTGCGATCCTCCCACCTCCTCCCAGAGTGGTAGGATTATAGGCGTGAGCCACCTCACCCGCTGGAATATCTAATTTTAATTCTTCTGTAAAGTAGATTTTGTATTAGATTTTCTAAAGCGGTTTATTCAGAATCGGATTTCTCATTAGAGGAACTTTACATTTACCTTTACCCTTTTCACTCTAGTAAACAGAACCATATGGGATGTACAGAGCCAGTGTTACCACCTTCAAGACCTATGAGTCAGAGAGCTTGACCAAAGTAAATCCAAAGCTGAAAGTTGCCATGTTTTAAAGAGATTAAAAAAATTTGTTTTTTTTATAAATTATCTTCTTGAACATTTTGGCGTAAACATCTTCCAATAACAAAGATGGGTCATGGTAGATACTTATCAATGACCTACAAGGTAAGCATCATAGTGGCTGGGGTAAGTGGAGAGCCGACTTTCTTCCAGCCACGGAGTCTCCCGCTCTTCGCGCAACGCCCCGGCTGTTAGCCTCAAAACCCAAGCACCGAGAGGCGGCAGGGGGTGCGCTCGAGGCCCCGCCCACGAAAGGGCACGTTTGCGTGCGCGCTGCGGCGGCGGCCATCTTGGACCCGGGCAGCCCGCCCACCTCCTGCTGTCGCTGTGGAGGCGGAGAGGCAACCCTGCCCCCTCAGTCCCCAGACAAGCCTATGGCTGGCCTGTGCCCGCGAGACCAACAGCCCCACACTCCCCTTCGGCCTCCACGCAAAACCTGGAGCCAGTATTCTGGTGGCAGATTACAGCTCCCCGGGCGACTTTGGGAAGGCACCTGTCCCTTTACCTGCAAAGCGAGAGTTTGAGCACCATCCCTGCATCAGTCACCATACTATTGTTTGGGCCTCGATGATGAACTCTTGGCATAAAGCCTGGTACATAAGTGTTCTATAAATGCTGCCGAGTTTTCCCTGTAGTGCACTGTAGCAACCACCTTCCGGCCACCACTGCCTGCTCCCTTTTCCGTGATCGCTTCTGTGCCAGTCTGAAGACCATGTGGAGGGGTGAGGGCTTGGCAAGCCCACCCCAGGGGAGTTAAAGTGAAGCTGGAGTCCTCTTGGAGTTGAATGTGACCATTTTGGAAGGGTGTCAGAAACACAGACCGGGGTGCCTGGGATTGGAAAGACTTTGTGGATTTTGAAACATTGCAACGCCCCCATGCTTGTTATTTTTATCACCCCTGGCTGCAGCCCCGTAGGGACTCCCATGCAGCATAAAACTAGAATGAAAGCTCTGTGTGTGTGTGCTGGCTGTGGGGACATCGTGTCCCAGGCAGAGCTAAGTGTGGGGGAGAAGGGCCTTTTGGCTCAGCGTGGGTGCTGGCCCCAGGGAGGGAGAGGAATTCAGGCCAGGCCTGAGGAGGCCCATGCAGGTCCTCTAACATGTGCAGCTGCTCCACCAGCCCTATAGCCAAGGCCCAGCAGTCCAGGGGTCCCAACTTCCTCCAGACCTCTAGGAGTCTGGAGGCCCAGGGTGAGATTTTATTCAGTACTAAGCCGCCCATACATGCCAGGCACGGTCAGGTTCCCGCAGTCCAGCCTGAAGGTAGCAGACGACACAGAAATTACTAGGTGAGGGGATTACACAGTTTATTTTCAAACACACTCAGAGGATGGGGGGTGGCCAGCAGGCTCCATCAGCATCCCCTCCCTGCATTTGGCTTAATCAGGAATTTTCTCCCCTTACCCCCACTCCCTAGAGCTGTGCAAGATAGGGAAGGCACTCTGACCCCCACCCTGCGGAGGGATCTAGCAGGTGAGGAGCATGGGATAGAGTTCAAGTATTCACAGTTCCCCCATCCACACCCCTGGATTACACTGTGCCCGGGGCATGAGGGAGGAGTGGTGGTGAAAGCCCTTCTCCCACTCGGAAGCGCCAAGGTGAACTCCCTGATAACCAAGTCCTAAGCCCTGTAGTCTGGACAAGGAGGGGCCTCAGCACGCCCTCACCCAAGGCCTCCGGGGATGGGGACAAGGGTCTTCACCTGCAGTGAAGTGGTTATAAGGGGCGAGGAAGGGAGAGAACTGAGAGGACCTGGGGAGACAGGCTCTTGACCTGACCGATAAGTTCAGACAGCACTGGCCTACACCCACCTCCCCCACATATCGGGCCCAGAATCCCTGAGAGTCCAACTGCAAAGACAGTATGGGGTGGGAGGAGTGGGCTCAGGGAGAACTAAGCAGGACCCTGGCCCTCCCACTCCCAGCCAGTCCTGCTCCTGGGAGACATGATGCTTAGGAAGGGCCAGGACCAGGCTAGAGTCCCAGCTTTCAGGTTCTGACCTTCCAGAAACGCTGAATACTGGGGAACATAGAGTAGACCCACTGGCCCCCATGTCCCGGATGTCCTGGCTCTGGGCAGAGTGGTGGCCGTGGAGAGGAGGGGCTGTCCCAAGGGCATTATAAAAAGCTAAAACCATTAAAAACTTCCTGGGAGGCAGTAGCTCCCAGTCTCTTCCCCCGACCACCACCAGTCTCCCCAGTGCCCAGCACACAGGGCTAAGGGGAGGCGTCCCAGAGAGCTGAGGGAGGCTATGGGCCCCCTCTGACAGGATGGGTCCCAGAGAGAGAGCCCATTAGCACCATGCAATGTTGGGGCACCCCATGACTGACCCATGGGCAGGGGCCCTCCAAAGCTGGAGTGTCCCTTTGCTAAAGCTTCTGTACTTTTGAGGGGGACCCCTGCAGGGGAGGGGGAAGGGAGAAAGTTTGGCAGGGTCTCAGCTGGGACCCCAAAGGGCCCCCTCAGGAGTCATGAGTTGAAGAATCTTCGTACCACAAACTGGCCCAACAGAACCACGGCCAGAACCACCAGCACGTTCCGGATGGGGCCATTGCCCAAGTCCAGGGCTGCCACCTGCCAGAGAAACAGGGAGGTCATAAAGAGGCAGGATACACAGGCACCCCAGGGACAGGGTAGGGCTGGAAGATGCTACCCTTGGGCACTCACCCAGCCGCCCCTCTGTGCGATCCACCGGGCGATGCAGTGATGCAGCATGAAGTCGGCCACGAAGCGGGTCACCTGGCCCAGGAAGCCGGTCAGGCCGCGCTGGTAGACGTGCAGAGCCAGGCGGTAGCCAAAGCCCAGGAGAGCCACCACACGACCCCAGTTTATGCCACTCTCAAACAGGCTGTGGGCAGAGTGTCCCATACTGTCAGTGGAGAGCCCCCAGGAGGCCCTTCAGCCTGCCCCCCCCCTTGCTGGCTGTGCCTCAAAGCCACGGAGGCTGCCCCAGCCTGGGCTCGACGTGGGAAGAACGTGGGTCTGAGAAGGGAGAAAGCTCAGGGCGTGTGAGCCGCAGCTGGGGGGCGTGGCCCCGAGGGGCAGGTGCCAAGGGCACAGACGGGGCAGAGGGCAGAACAGTGGATGGAGGCAGCAGGGAGATTACCTGTGGGCGTTGCTGCTGGCCTGGCAGCCCGAGGGACAGCAGAGGGAAAAGGACAGAAGAGATTAGGGGAGGTCCTGGAATCACAGGTGTGGGAGCTGGCCTCTAGGGACGCAGGCTGGACATTTCAGTTCTGGGCACTAATTCTAAATCTATCACCCATTCCTACCGATACCTCCGGCTTCAAATCTACCCCAGCACGACCTCTCTAACTTTGGCGGTGACTTTGTAAGTGTGCACGTTGTTCTAAGCATATTTTCCCTATTTTACAAGCAAGGAGACGGCAGACTAGGAAGTTTTACAAAGGCAGTAAGTGGCAAAGCTGGGATTTGAACCCAGGTATTTGGTGTACTCAACGACTACACCAGATTGCCTCTTGGATGCCAGATTATAGTGACTGGAAGCCATTTCCAGGAGCTGGCAGAGGTTCGCAACCTTGCTATCTCTGGTGTGATATGTGGTTCCAAGTCAGATCTACAAAGGACAGCTGTGCTCCAGCTAGGCTAGGGAGCTCTGGGGGACATCCCCACCTCGGGGCCCTTCTTGAGTCCTGATCTAATCCATCCAGCCCCTGGTATCATCTCAAAAGAGCTGCAAGCTTAAGTGGCGAGAAATGAGGGGTCTGTAACCCTGGGAGAGAAAGATAGGGGCTGAGACCACATGTGAGTTAACAGCAGAGAACTGGCTCCCACACTGGGGAGCTCACTGCCCGGGCAGGGTGTGGCATGGCGGTGACAGGACATCAGAGTGATCAGAGCCCACTGCGGAGATGGCCCAGGTACCTCGTGGCGATCTTGGTGAAGTACTCATAGGCGTTCTCTGCTGTGGGCTGCAGGTGCTCCAGCATGGCCTGGAACTCTGAGTCATAGCGCCGGTTGATGTTGTCCCCGATGATGGCGAGCTGTCGACCCACCTGCCCCGTGGTGCTGTAGGAGCAGGAGGGAGGTGGGTGAGCAGACTGTGGGGCAGCTGGGGCCAGGCTCAGAGCAGAGGGGATCTACCTGAGCTGTCCCTGGCCTTGTGCACCCCACCTTGGAGGTCCCTGACAGTGTGCTCAGACATGAGGGCTGGGCTCAGGAACAAGGAGCAGGCATGTGTTGAAAGGGGTACAGGATCCTGGATAGGTGTAGGAGCAACACCGAGAGAAGCGCAAGACCTCCCAGGCCACCCCAACTCCCGGGACCTGCAGAGACCCCACGTGAGCCTCTACCTCCCTGAAGATGTCCCTGTGGGCCCAGGGACTGTAGCTCACCTGCTAGGCTCTAGGGGCAAGGTGTCCATCTCTGGGTCAGCGAGGGCAGCTGCCCCCTCGGCCTCCTGCTCCTGCTGATGGCGGTAAAAAACGTAGCTGCGGAAAACCTCCTCTGTGTCCCGGGCTACCTGCTCCTCTGAGGATCAAAGCTGGGAGTCAGGGAGGGAGACGGACCCTGGCAGCCCCAGCCTTTTAAGTGGTTTGTTCTGCCTCGAGGCCACATCGGTTCTCCTTAGTTGACACCTAGTGCTTACTCTGTACAGAGTGACTCCTGGCACTTTGCATTCAGCCCTCACAATGGGCCTGTGAAGTGGGTGGTCCCCAGTAGAAGAAACTTCGGCACAGGGTGTCTAAGTGACATGCACACGCCAGGAGGTAGTCCCAGGGATCTGGGCTCCAGAGTCTATTTTAGTGTGTCCAAGGTGTCCATTAGTGTTTAGGAAATGTGGGAACAAAATTTGAAACTGTAGCCTCGGGCCCAGAGAAGTCAAACGGGGAGACAGTGACAGACGTGGGACCAGGACCCCAAATCTAGGGAACAGCCTGTAGGGGCTGTGCGCTCCAGCTTCCCCGGCCGCCCCCCCCCCAGAAGGGAAGGAGGGCAGCCATCTTACTTCCTCCCCCAGTCACAACAATCCGCTCCCGCTCCCAGTGGCTCCCAGTCCCTGAGTCTGGCAGACCTGACTGAGTGATAAGCCAGTTTACTTCCTTATTTCTCCTACCCAAGGAGACAACAGTCACGCCCACTCCCCTGCCCTCCTCCCGCCCCCGCCCCTCTGCCCTGGGATGGCATTGTGCTACCGCCAGCTCCAGGCCCCTCCCAGCCTCCACGGACCCTCCCCAGCCCAGCCTCCACCCTGCCCTCTGGGCTTAACCTAGACCAGAAAGATTCTTTTCTCCTTTATCCCAAGGGGCCAAGGAGGCAGGAGAGCCTGCCCCTAGGTCCTGTGTGGCCCTATGCACTTCTGCTCTCTCCAGACAGCCCTCCAGGGTGCGGAATGGGTGAGGGGCGGGAAGACCCTTACCAGAAGTGGGAGGCGGGGCAGCCTCTCTGCACCCCTGCCAGGGAGGACCTGGGCCTTGCCCGGATGCCATTTTTCAGGTCTCAATGGTGGGCAGCGACAGCCTGTGGGGATGGGTGAGAAAAAGCAGGGGCCTCTGACTAGGGACGCCTGAGAGGTTGCCATGGCCACATAGGATGGGTCCCCCCTCCCAGAAAGACTGGACAGTCCTCTGGGACTGTTTTTCTTACTTCCCCACCTTGAGTCTGCTGGGAGGAGCAGACCTTGAACACTACACCGGCAATCCTTTGAGGGGGACGGATAAGGAAGGTGAGGCAGCCGACAGACTGCAGCATCTGTGCCGTGTCCTCAACAGCAGCCAGGGCCTCCAGAAGGGGGTGGCTGCAGCGGGCCCTGGTGGCTCTCAAGCCCCGTTTCATGTCACTCCCGGGCAAGTGAGGCTAGTTTCAGAGGCTGGGGGTTCTTTCAGCTGCTCTGGGGGCCTCCTGCACTGCACCCAGCAAAGGTTTATCGAAAGCTTGTCACCTCCAATGACCCATGAAGGCCCCACTTCCCCTTGGCCGGCCAGAACACACCTGTTTTCCAACTCAGCCCTGTGAGCCGCAAACACTTCCTGAGAGCCTGTGGTATACTCCTGCCACTTTTGAGTATTCTCCAGGTGATGGGTATCAAACTCAAAATTTACCCAGCAGGGTAAGCATCCCACCCATTTTACAGGTGGGAAAAGTGAGGCACATAGAGGCTAGTGCCTGAGGCCACATAGCTAGTCAGGGAAAGTAGTTTGTTGGAATCTTCATGAGCCACATACTCAACACTCATTTAAGATTTATTTTCCAGTGTGTGGACCTCAGAGGGTGTAGTTTTCCAGGGCAACTTTTCCTATTTCCCTCCTGCCTCCCAGTGAGCTGAGGGAGCCCTCAGGAGTCAGGGCCTTCTTCCCAGCCCCCTAGCCCGCCTCACACCTCAGCCCCACCACACACCTGCTCTCCTGTCCCAGCCCCGGCTTTCCTCGGCCCAGTCCAGGCTGCAGCCCCTTTCCTGGATGTGAGCCGTTTCACTTTCAGTTTGCACCCCTTCCGAGCTCCATTTCCCCCAAAGCTGCCTCCATCACCCTGGGGGGAGCGTGCCAGCTCCTGTACCCTGGAAGGGTTCAGCCCCACCCCGGGCCCCCAAGGCCTGGGCCCCTTCACCCACGCTCCTCCCACTTACGCCTAGGGCTACTTTCAAAAGTGCCCCAAGAGCTCTCTAAGAACGGGTGGCGAAGGGGTGGACCACCTGTGTATCCACCCTTCCACCCCCTCGGGGCCAGGACAGAGCGCAGCAGACCTTCCCCTCCACCTCTGGGAGCCAGATCTTGTTAAAGGCAGACCTTGCAGGCACACCGCCACCCGGCAGCTCCTTCCTAAATAAGATGCCTTCCTTCTCCCCAGTCTCCGCACCCAGCAGCCCTAGACCGCAGGGCCAGAGGACGCTGACTGTATCCCCAACTAACTCTACCACCAGCCCAGGTGAGCAGGTAGAGCCTCAGAACAGACCCCAGAGCCACCAGCCTACGCCACCTGGGCCTGCCCCCTCCCACCGCCACCCCCGTGCAAGTGGCCCAACTTCCAGTAAGAGGAATCCACTCCATCCCTACCTCTTGGGCCCGTTCCCCAGGGAAACTTGCCTGGCTGGGCTCTAGACCCAGTCTGGGGATCTGGGGGCAGCAGGAGAAGCTGTAAAAGTTGTCCCTGCCCTTGACCTTGGCTGACCTCCACTCCCATCCCACAGACTGCTGAAGAGCCCAGTTCTCGTGGTTCTCTGGCATCCAAGGCCAGAGCGAGAGGGGAAGCTGAGTGGGGGCAGCCGAGAGAGATCAAGCCCCCGCGGGGAGGGCGGACCTGCCCGGGCAAGCCTAGAGGCTGCCCCTTCCCCCGGCGGCCGGCGGGCTCCCTGCCGCGCCCTGGGGCAGGGGCAGCGGCGATCTGCCCGCACGGGCAGGACCCTCCCAGCTTACCTGCCGGAATCCTGGCCCAAGCGGGGTGGCTCGGCAGGGCCGAGGCTGGAGATCCGAGGGGCTGGGTCTGCTCCCAGGGCCGGGGTGCGAGCGGCTTCTGGGAAGGGCGTCAGTGCATCCCCGGTGCCTGCTACGGCCTCTGTGCCCCGGCGCGGCCCGAGGGACGCGCGAGGCTCGGCGGTCCCAGGTGCGGCGGCGCCCAGCTCCAATCTGCTCGCTGCGGAGGAAGTCGCTGTGCGGCGGCCGGATCCGGGGGCCGGGCCCGCAGGCTGGGCGGGCGGCCGGCGGCCCTGGGGCGGCCCCGCCCGCGCCCGCCCAGGCCCCGCCCCAGCCCGCCTGGACGCTCCCGGCCCGCCCCAGCCCCGCCCCCAGCCCGGCCCCCCCGGCCGCGGCTCCCGGCCCCGCCCAGCCCCGCCCAGCCCGCCGAGGCGCTCCCGCCCGCCCCCAGCCGCCCCCACCCCGCGGAGCGGCTCAGCCCCGTCCCCCAGCCCGCCCCCAGCCCGCGTGAAGCGGGTCCGCCCCACCGCTGCTGCTGTTCCTGCTTCCCGGCTTCACTTTTGCTCTTTCTTCCTTCCTTCTGTCGACCGTGCAGTACACGCTAGGCAAGGAAGGTTCTCGTGGGTGCCATGCCCCCGATTCAGCCACTGTCTCACTGGCTTCTTCCACAACCCTGGGAGGAGGGGCTGTAAACTATGCCAACTTTACAGATGAGCAAACTGAGGCTCACGTGTTTAAAGTACTCTCCTGTTATCACTGACCTGGGGTCATTAATCAGTTCTGTAAGGCGCCTTGGGGAATTAAGAATGGTAAACTGAGATTCAGCCTGCATCTCAGACCTGTGTGATTCAAAATCCTGAAGCTGGCCGGGGGCGGGGCTCCGCCTGTAATCCTAGCTCTCGTGGAGCCGAGGCAGGTGGATTGCTCGAGGTCGGGGGGTCAAACCAGCCTGAGCAGGAGGGAGACCCCGTCTCTACTATAATAGAGAAGATAAATTATTGGCCAACTAAATTATATAGAAAAATTAGCCGGCATGGTGGCGCATCTGTAGTCCAGCTCTCGGGAGGCTGAGGCAGGGAGGATTGCTTGAGGCCCAGGAGTTTGAGGTTGCTGTGAGCTAGGCTGATGCCAAGGCACTCACTCTAGCCTGGGCAACAAAGTGAGACTGTCTCAAAAAAAAAAAAAAAAAAACCTAAGGTGATAGGCTGGTAAACAGATTAAAACTCAGTGGACTTGGATGGGGGGAGGGGCTCACACCTGTAATCCTAGCACTCTGGGAGGCCAAGGCGATAGGATAGCTTGAGCTCAGGAGTTTGAGGCTCCTTTTGTTACAAAGGGATCTGTTCGTCATTCTGTGCTCAATGTATCTTGCTCTTGCTCTGTAAACCTATCTTGTCCTTCCTCAATAAACTTTCCTTTATGCTTTTTGGTGTGTCTGTCATTCTTCGGCCAAGAGCACACCAAGAACCAAGAACAGACAAGATTGCTGGCCCCAAACCTGACAAGGGAGCTAGGTGGAAGGAACAGGAAAACAAGATAGACTTTTTTTTTTGAGACAGAGTCTCACTCTGTCGCCCTGGGTAGAGTGCGGTGGCATCAGCCTAGCTCACAGCAACCTCAAACTCCTGGGCTCAAGGAATCCTTTGCTCAGGCTCCAGGTGCTAGGATACAGGGTGACCACTGTGGCCGGTGACTTTTTAAAAATGATATTCCTGGGTCGGCATGGTGGCTCACCCCTGTAATCCTAGCACTCTGGGAGGCCCAGGTGGGCGTATCGCTCGAGGTCAGGTGTTTGAAACCAGGCTGAGTGAGACCCCGTCTCTACCAAAAATAAAAATAAATTAATTGATCAACTAAAATATATATATACAAAAAATAAGCCGGGCATGGTGGCACATGCCTGTGGTCCCAGCTACTCGGGAGGCTGAGGCAGGAGGATTGCTTGAGCCCAGGAGTCTGAGGGTTGCTGTGAGCTAGGCTGACGCCACAGCACTCACTCTAACTTGGGCAACAAGTGAGACTCTGTCTTAAAAAAAAAAAATGTATTCGGGAACAATGTACATATTTTACATAATTTAAAATGAAATTAATAAATGAATTAATAAAACAATTCCTAATATCCAAAAGTCAAATTAAACTTCTAGGCTGGGTACCATGGTGCACACCAGTAATCCTAGAAATCTGGGAGGCCGAGGTGGAAGGATTGCTTGAGGCCAGGAATTCAAGACTAGCCTGAGCAAGAGTGAGACCTGTCTCTATGAAAAATAGAAAAAATTAGCTTGGTGTAGTGGTGAGTGCCTGTAGTCCCAGCTACTCGGGAGACTGAGGCAGGAGGATTGCTTGAGCCCAGGAGTTGAGGTTGCTGTGAGCTAGGCAGATGCCACGGCACTCTAGCCAGGCCAACAGAGTGAGATGAATTCTCAAAACAAAAACAAAATCAGTGGGTGCTGTTTTATTTCATGAGTTTAAAAAAAGGACAAAAAAAAAAAGAAAGAAAGAAAAAACCCAACTCAAGGGGGTCCGTGCCCGGGAGCTCCTCCCACCTGCCATGGCACCATCCCTCGGGGCTGGGTGTGGGGACATGGAGGCTTCTAGCCAAGCCCCAAGAAGGTCTTGAGGGTCCTGGCCCAGTGTGTACGGGTGGAGCTGGTCCTGGCCACAGGAAGCCAGGAGGTGCTGGGCAACCTGTCTGGGAAGGAAGAGGAGGAGCCAGCAGGGGAAGTCACAGGGGTTACCGAGGCCCCAGACAGGTGAGGGGCTAGGCTGTGGATGGGGGGCCGGGTGGGGCAGAGGCCTGGACCTAAGATGGGGGAATGCAAGTTGGGGGGGCCTGGGAAAGGGAGAGCGTGGATAGGTAAAGGGCTGGAACAAGGCCTGAGTGGGGATGGGTAGGGCCAAGAGAGGGAAACAGGGCAGGAGTGAGGGGTGGGGGGCAGCAGACACAGGGGCGGGCGTCCTCCCACAAGTGAGGGGCTGTGGATGGAGGCACCAAAGCTGAAAAGGGGTGGGGCTGGGGTGGGGAGGGATTGTGCCTGCATGGGCAGGCGGGGCTCCTGTTGCTCCCAGCTCCTTCTGCAGGCCCACAGCCCTGCCTTCCCCCCTCCCCGCCACCCTTCCCTCACATTTGGGCCTGGCGGCCACCCACTATAAAGAAGACAGACCCAGCCCTCTATCTGCTCCCCAGCCCCCTCATCACCCTAGTTGAGGGGAGGGATAGTCCCCATCTTTGATGAAGACCCCAAGGGGCAGAGGAGGGGGCTGATGGGAGACAGAGGGGGGGAACTGAGCAGGCCCATGGGAAAGCCTTGATAGGTTTTGGGGGGTCTGTGGCACATCTCTGGGCCCCACCTGCCTGTCCCACCTGACTGTACGTTGGGATTAGGGGCCACTTTACCCAGGCCCTGGAGGTGGAGCAGGAATACCAGCAGAGGGCCAGGAGGTGAGAGGTCAGCCCCAGGCCTGCCGCAGGGAAGAGGAGGCGAGTGTCTGCTTGGTGGTGGGTGCTGGCTGCAGGCACATGGCAGGCGTCAGAAATGGACCCTCTTCTTCTAGGACTTCTCAGGGGTGGAGGGCCTGGCAGGACGCAGGACACAGTCTGAGGGACTGCTAGAGTCAGATTGCCTGGGTTCAATTCCAAACTCCACCATGCCAAACTGCCTGTTGCACTTGCCTATGGCAAGTAGCTCGACCTCTCTGTGTCTCAGTTTCCATATCTATAAAATAGGAATATAATAGTACCTGTCTTGGGGTGGCTGGGGATTAGCTGAGATGCTCTTTGTAAAATGCCTGGACCTACGCCTGGCACACAGTAGGCGTTTGCTGAAACAATGCAACCCCACCCTCAGCTCAGCACCCATGTCCCTGCCCTTTGCTGCCAGTCTGTAGGTGACCACCACCCCTTTACAGGAGACCTCTGGTCGGCCTCTTCCAAGGTGGGGGCAGCTCCCTGGAACCGCCTCCTCAATTTGTGCACGCAGCTGCAGGAATCGGCCATGGCCAAGGTCTGTGGGTGATGGGAGCGTGAGGCCTGGGGGGACCCCTCCCACATCTGGCTGTGCCACAGGATACCTGGTCTGGGCCAGGGGAAGCAGTCCCCTTTCTTAACCTTTTGGGAGCTGTTGCCCTTTTCCTTTCAGGGAGGGCTTGCCCCACGCAGAGGAGAAAGAGGAGGACCAGGAAATGGAGGAAGAAGACAGATTATTCAAGCTCTGTGTCTCTGGCATTGTCACCCTCCAGTTACCACTGCATAAGAGTTTTGAGTCCACAGATGCAGTGGGTAAGTGCTGCTACCTCCCCTCCCCTCTCTTCCCAAGTGGCCCCCAGGCCCAGGAAGCCCCCCAAATAACTTGTCTAAGGTCAAACAGCTAGTAATAGCAAGTGGCTGAGTGTGCAATATCAGCACTTACCACCAGGTGGCACCAGAGGACCTAAGATGACCACCCTGCGGGGGCATCAGCGTGGGCCTGGGCTGGAGGCCACGCTAGGTCTAGGTAGGGTCTTCCTCCCTCAGGGTTTGGGGAACAGCAAGGTGGGGGTTGCACTACTCAAGCACCACCTTCCCCGGCCCTGAACCTTCTAACTCCTTGGGTGGGCACCTCCATCCCTGCTTTTCCCATCATGCACTGCTATGGCAGTGCCCCGAGGGTGCCCTCTCTCAGAAGAGCCTTCCTGCAGCCCCAGATGTGGACAGCAGTTGGTGCAGTGGTAGTAACATAAGAGGATAAAAACCACTGCTGATATTTACACAGCCATTACTGTGGGCCAGACCCTCTTCTAAGGACCTTTTTATAAGGTTGTGACACTGAGGTAGGTCCTATTATTATCCCCAATTCACAGTGAGAAAACTGAGGCACAGAGAGGTTAAATAACTTGTCTAAGGTCACACAGCTATTAATCGTCAGAGCTGGGACTTGAATGTGGGCAGTTTGGGTTCCAGATCCCGGCTCTAGGCTCTTGGGTTGACGGCTAGAGGCGGCGCACGTACCTGCCCCTTGAATGCTCTCCCCGAAGGTGGAGACAGGCTTTGCAGGAGGAACCCGTGGAAAGTAAGTTTCCGAGGGAAGGCAGGGTGATGGAGAGATGGCATGTGGCTGGCTCCAGGTAATCAAACAAGAAAGGGCCATGGCTGGGGTGACCAGCGTCACAAGTTGCACAGAGCTCCGGTGAGGTTTGGAGAGCTGGCTGCTGCCTATTCCTTGGGTCTGCAGCAGTTTGCTCCACCTTGCTCCTGCCTGGCCCCTGACCATCTCTCTGTCTCTCAGG